AGAAGAAGAATCTGATAATAGCGATAATAATGACAATCAAGTTGATCAGATATTAAATGATGAAGATTCTTATATTAATAAAAATGAACAATTAATAAAAGAAGATGAAAAATGTTTAGATTTAATTATAATTGAATAGATTAATAATATAGAATATTTAATAATGCTAATGATATAATATTACTTTCTTCAGAATAGGATTCAAGTTTTAAATTAAGTGAATAGATTATTCATCCTGCTGATAATGATTTAACAAAATGGTTATTAAAATCACTTTTTATTTCTAATTTAGAATTATTGATCTACTTAAATACAAATGATGTATTTACTAATGCTCAATAATTAATTTATATATTATAATAAATAAAGTAAATATTATTTTCAAAAATTAGATTGTCTAGGATTTTTTTTGTTTTTTCATTTACAGTAACTAATTATTTTATTTTTCTTGTCTTGTAATTAATATGAATGAGATTATGTTAGAATTTAGAAAAAATTATCAATTTGTTCATTGATCGAAAACTTAAATCTTAAAATCTTTCTATTGAATATATTTGAACATATAAAAAATATAAAAAATTTGTTAAATTTTTTAGATATAAATACAAAATTAAATAATGTAATATTTTTCAAGTTCAAGTTTAATTTCAGAAAATTTAAATATATAATTACATAAATTCAAACAAAAAATTTAATATGATTAAAGTAAAGAATAAAGTTTGTTCTAATAAAAAATTATATTTGAACATATAGATATAAGTTCAAATTTTTTTTAAAAAAAAATTTTATTTACTTCTTTTATTGATAATATTATTGACTGAAATTATTTACTTTTTTAAATAAGACCATTTGTATAATCAAATAAAATTTTTATAATCTAAAAGAACTGATATAATATAAAAATAAATCTGATCTAAAATTTTAATATAAGCTAAAACATGTTATTCTTGACATAATTCTTTTTATATTTGATTATGAATTGACTCTAATATTATTAGTCATAAGGTCATAAAGTCATAATGCTTATTGAAATAACTAAATGATATATGACTAGTCATCAAATCATATAGATTATAAAAGATCATGTACCATTACTGCTTAAGTATGGTAAAAATTAATAGAAGTCTTGATTTTCAGCTTTCCTTGCATCTAAAAAAAATCCATTTTTACTGTAATATTATATCATTTATTTTAATATTCTAGAATTAACATTAGATTCACGTTATAATAGTGTAATCTATTATCAGAAAGAAAAGTAATCTAACTTCAAGTAATTTAATAACTGTATACAATAAAAATGTAGTAACTTATACATTTTAGTATGTACAGTCAACTCTTGATATAGCGAACTCTTGATATAACGAATTTTTTGAACAAATATAATAAAAATACTCTTGTTATAGTGAATTAGCCAATCAAATCTCTTAAACTCTTCACTATAGTCTTATAGCGAAGTTGAGGTCTAGGACATAGAGTTCATTATAACAAGAGTTGACTGTATTAGCTGATCAGTAATCATATGTCTAAATATCCAATTAAAGATTTCTAAATTTTTGTATATATATAAGGATCAAATCTAATATTTAACCTTTTTTTTCAAAAAAAAACACTTTTATTTCTCTTGTATTCTTAGGTAAAATTTTCATTTTATAGTTAACTATTATTATAACTTCTTTTTCATTTAAATCTAATAGATTTGTATTGAATTAGATATTTAGAAATACTTTACATATTTAATAGCTCAAATAATAAAAATTTGATCTTGTAATTCACAAATTTTTTTATAAATATTGTTTAAAATATATTTTTTAATATCAATAAAAAATTAAAAAAATACATCACATTCTGAACATATGTGTATATTATTCATTATATGTACCAAATACAAAAAGAAAGTAATAGTTTATACATGTATTATTTTCTGTTATACTATCAGAATTTATGATCAAATATGACTTATATTCTTTTTTAAGATAACATTTTACCTTTTCTTCTCAATCTATTAAGAAAATTATCAAAATTAGTCTTATATAAACTAAATATTATAGATGCCTGCCGAAACCTCCTCAAAATAATTTCATCATACCCTTTTCTATGTTTTTAATATAGTTTCAACAGTTTCAGCTTTCGTCATATTGAATGGGTTTTGTCATATCCCTTATTATGATTTTAATATAGTTTCGTCTAAGTTTTGACAGTTATTAAGGGATTTCGTCCCTCATCTATACTGAATATAATCATATTTTAAAAAATTACAAAGAAATATTACTTGGATATAAAGGTTATTAACATCATTCTAAATAAATTTGATAAGTTCATCAAATATTTTATAATCATATGTATTGTATATTAAATACAAACTACCAAGATTCTCATGATAAATATATTTATTATCTTATAGATGCTTATAAAAAGTTATTCATTTTGTTCTATTTGGATATTTTTATAAAATTTTTTCATAGTTTTTGTTTTATATTTTTAAAGTAATGAACTGGTTCTTATATAGTAATATCTGTTTTATATGAGTTTATTATTATATTAGTCTTATCAGAAAAAATTGATCTAAATTTTTTTTCTGATTTAATTTATCTTTAGTAGTGATTAGTTTTTGTATTTAAGATATACTTGATCTATTGATATATGTATATTAGTGAACTCTTGATACTATATTTGTAGTTACCTATAAGTTTATATTTTTATTTAATTCAATAAATTTAATAGTATATATTATTTTTATATAAATGCTAACCTCTAATTTTGATTTGAGTTTTTAATAGGTAAATTTTATAGCAATAATTAAAAGAATTCATCTTTGACCATCTGAACTTTTACATGTATTTTTTAATGTATCACAAAATGCTTGTCAAAATATATAAGATTAATTTTTTGGATGACTTAGGTTTAGTTAGAAGAATCCAAATTCATAAAATATTTATAATGTTTCATTATCTTTTTGTATATTATATGCTTTTGTTTAAAATTCAAACTAATAAAAAATAAAATTAATAATAATGTAATTTGCTAATAAAATAATAAAATAATAAATCAATTTTTAATTTTTTATATGATTATTAACCTTGAATTCTTCTTTAAAAGGTGTGATCTTAATATATTCTACATTTTAAATAAATGCTTTCAAATATGCCATTCTTAATTACTAATTTCATAATTAGATAGATAAAAATCTAAAATAGCATTTTGTAATTCTAATATATTACTCTTCTGATTTAACTATTTATCAAATAAGTCATACCACTTAATCTCATATAAAATTCTTCTTTTCAAATGATATTTATAAAGATTTCTAATATTCTTTCAAGAATCTAAACTAATATATACAAGAAGGAATTTGTGCTTACTGAATACAAATTTGTGTGTATGAATTTTCTAATTCAAAAAGAATTTTTCAAAATAATTTAAAAGCCTATCAACACATAACTAAACTTAATTAAGATCAATAGTGTTATATTTTTTTAAAGTATTGTTAGTAAATATTGAAATATACATTTTTTATCTTCTATCTCTTGAATGAAAGTTAATTTTACATCATCAAAATTATATTAAAAAATGGACTTATATCTTTCTTCTATATAATTTTATTCAAATTTCTTCAACTTTCCTATTTTCAACACAAATATATTCAATTTTCTAAAATTAAATATATATAGATTGAATTATAACATTACTAAGCAATTTTTGCATAATATTTGAATTATCAAATCTCATAACTGGTAGTTCAAAATACTTTGTGTTTGAACAAAAAAATTTTCTCATAGCAAGAATTAATGGTTTTTGTTAGTGAACTGCACATATCTGACTAATTTTCTTTAAAATTATATAAAAATCCAAAAGAATTTAGATTTTAATATCTTTTATAACAGTAATTATGAAGTTATAGTTATTTAAAACTATAAGAGATTTCATTCCTAATCAGATCAGAAGAAGAAGAGTATATGTAGAAGTTTTATAGGTTGTATAAGCAACTAATTATGATAAAATGGTCTAAAATGTAAATGTTCTACAATTGATCAGTAAAAATAAATATTATAATATAATTTTATATATTATATCTTTAAAAAAAAGGTTATATAAATTAAAAATATGAGATTTTAAAATTTTCAAAATTATATATATATATTATTCTCAGATTATCATATAAATTTATATATGATAATCTTTACTTTATATAAATTATCATATAATCCTGAAAATAAGCATCATGTGATATATATGAATTTATTAGTATATACGTGACTAATAATATAATAAATTTTATATAACAAATAAATAAATTACTATAAAAAAAACGTGTTATAGAATGTTTATTTTCAAAACTATATTATAATTACTTTTCAATAATAGATAAGAAATAAAAAATAAGATAGGTTAAAATTGTTTTTTTTTATAAAATTTTTATAGAATTTAAGAGATTTATTAATTATTATTAAATTATAATACTTAAATATTTATTAAAAAAAAAATATTTTTTATTTATTATTTTTTAATTATATTTACTTTAATTTGTAAATAATTAAAAGAATTGATATATATCATAACATTATAGATTACTATAATACTTTTTTACTTCTTGCTATAAAACTTATCACAAAATTATATAAATAACTAATCATTATTAAGTATTATTATACTATACAGTTGAACCTCTCTATAACGAATCTTCATTTTTGGAGGTCACAATTCGTTGTAATGAGAAAATTTAATAACATTTTACTGAATTTTAAAAATTTATTCACTATATAGTGATACTGAATATTATATCCAAATTCGGTATGATAATAAAATAGAAATTTATCATTTACTGTAATCAAAAACTGCAGCTGAAACTGATGATCCAGTTTGAAACCGGTTTACTAAACATCCCTAAATATTTTTATTATATATTCAGAAGTTCAATTTTTATTGGTTATAAATTCAGCGTAACTTTATAATTTTGCAAAAAAAAAAAATTAATCTTTTTCACCATAACCATCGAATATATTTTATTCTTTACTAGTATTAGCCTTATCCGCATTTCCCAAACATGAATCTAATGTAACTTGTTGTTTAGAATGAAATTCTTCTCGTTCCACTACTTTTCGTAATTTTTTTATTATTCGAATTTGATCCTTTGGAAAATCAATTTTATCAGATTTTTGTTCTGCATATATGATTATTTGGTTAAGTGCTACTAGTGCTTCATAATTACTGATAATAGAAATTTCAGGTTCTTCATTATTTGGTTCTACTTCTGGTTCTTTCATTAATTCTATAATTTCCTCATCAGTTATCATCTGATGAATTGTTTCTTCTTTTTCAGACCGCAAATATTCTTCAGCAGAAATTGGATTTTCGTATATATTAGGAGTTAATCGATCAATAAAATTTTGTATTCTATTGATTTCATCATATTCATTAAAATCTGTAAATCAACAAAATCATCAAAATCATCAACATCAATGCTTTCATCATCATCTGGCGGAAGAATATCCGTTTTTCTCTAACAATTTATAATTACAACTGGTTAAACCAAATCCCATACTTTTGCTACATATTTAATTGCCTTTTTTATTGTAATTTCAGTTATAGGTTAACCAGTTTCTTGATTATTATCAAATGCTTTAATACGATTTTGCAAAAATAACTTTCGATATTGTGCCTACATTTATT